TGGAGCCCATCGACGACTGTGTCACGAACGACTTGATCGAACGTGTTACGTCATCGACCGCATCGCTGTTCAGGTCGTCTTCGTCCGCCGCCACGGACGGCAGTGATGGGAGTGCTTTCGCAAGAACCCACGAGCTTTCCAGATGAGAGGCCTGATCCTCTGAACGAGTGTATGGAGAGCATGGAAGTGATGTCGGCTTTGGTGGGACTGTCGCAGCCCTTCCAAAGGCCGTGTCTCCTGAATCCCCTGAATCGGCTCCGAAGCCCTCTGCGAGCCGTTCCAGTTTCTGCAACTTGGCGAATTCTGTTTCGAGCACATCGGCTAACTCTTGTAAGAGACTTCGCCAAGGCTCCATGTGGCGTTCAGAACTATCGAAGCAAAAGACTATACATTCAAAACTGCAGCGCCTGCACGCCTTCAGCTGCACAGGCTGACGAGCATTGGGCCAGGCAAAAGGCAACAGCCGGTACGAAAGCTACTCGAAGGTATGCCAAAGGCCAGAGGTACCAACCGCAACGAAAGATAAGCTTGGGATGCAGAATTTGCCCGCAGAGCAACGCACCTTGTCCTGACTTCCTGTGGCGCCACTGTCTGCTGCATCCTGGCGCATGCGGCGGAGGACCATGGCACTGTACGTTGAAGAGAGTTGATGAGGCTGGCGGCACAACTGCAGGCAGCCTCTGTCTTGCATGCAAGCGATGCAGATTCCGCGGTCTTCGCCTGCACAGGGAACCGGCTCGCCGTCTCTCGCCTTTTGTCTGTCGCACCTTCTTTAAAGATGGCTCCTTGCAAGCAGCCTCCTCGGCCTGTCGGAGTCAGCACGGAATAGTGCAAGAAGGAAGTCTGCAGCTTGCAATTTGCATTGAGCAAGCAACTGTGCGCATTGCCGCACGTGCACTGAGAGGCTCCTGCGACGACGTCGACTTCTCCACTGACTGCGCCGCCTGCGTGCAAACCGGGCGGAGGACCTGGCACCTTTACATCCACATGCATGGCACTTCTTCTTCGCCTTCTCGCCATGTGATGGTTTGGCCTAGTCCAGGAAGCAAGGCTATTCTAATTGGCACTTGGCTCGGAGAGTGCACAGCGCCTCCGCCTTCGACTCCTCCACTGCTTTGGGTGGCTGAGCCTGCGAAAGGATCGAGTTGAGCACGCCAGTAAGCCAAGCTTCCTTGGCCATGCAGCTTCCTTGGCTTTCGTCCGCAGCGCAGGGGAAGGCTCCGTCCTGCACCGTGAGCACCGTGAGGCCGTCTTCCAGCTCCCGGCCATGGCCTGGGCCTGGTTCCAGAACTGGAAGTGCCAGGATCACTAAGCGAAGCCTGCACGGCAGCGCTTCAACTGGATTTAGAGTGCTTCGAGATATCCCTGACCGGAAGTACGAAGTGGAATGCAGATTCACCTATCAATTGTGGGTGAGCCTGAACTGCCATCATGGCGGTTCGAGTCGGCTAGAAATTAGTTTGTTCAGGAAGCAGGCGCGGAAAGCACGGAATTTCCACTGCCAAGCCCGGATCAACAACCTAGCATCTGAGTCTGAAACTAGCAGAAATCCATTTGATCCATGTCTACCCCTCTCTGCCTTTGGGGTGAGACGCACCGTTGTTCGATACGGTGTGATCCTGGCCCAGGAGAAGGGCCGCTTCCGGCCATCCTGCAAAGGAACAAGGGTTAAAGGGGCAGCTCCAATCCTTGACCGTGCAAAGGGACAGTGAGAGCGGGGAGGAGTGGTGTAGAAACCCTCCTCCTTTCAGCATTCAGGCTGAAGCTGAGATGCACAATGAGGCATTGAGAAATGCGACTTACATCAGTTTATCTAAATGCACATGCACACCGATCGCTCCTTTGCCACCCAGAGAACCGAGTCAGGTGCCGACTCGGGGGTGCTAGATCCCAGCTGCAGCTTGAAGCCTTGGATTTGGGTGTCTCGGCTGTCTCGGCTCTGCCTTCTATGTGGTATTCAAAAGGTCGGGGACCGGCGACTTATACACCGATGGCAAAGCTGCTTGCCCAAGCTGCCTTTCCCCCAGACCACACTCTCGGAATTGTCACGTCCAACTTCCAAACCTCGGGCTGATTTTCGGAATGACAGCGCAAGCTTTTTCGGGTTGGCCAACTTCTGCTCACACGCCCAGCCGGCTCACAAGAGAGACGCAACGTCTGGCTGTTGCTTTTCGGAGATGTGATTCTGCCCAGGTGCGGATGAGGCCAGGTGTGCTTCTGACAACACCATCAGGCCTCCAGGTGAAGCTGTGATTCCCTTTCGCTTTGCTTCTGGCCCCATCACCCCAACCGACGCCCCACATCCCTGCCTAGCTTCAACAGGCACACGATCCTTTCAGAACAGCAACATCTCCAAGCACAGTCCAGGTTGGATCTCGGAGGCAAGCAGGACTGCAGCAACAAACATCTTACGTTCCCCACACCAATGAACAGTTGTAGCTGCTTTGCGCGTTTGAGCTTGGTGCAACCTGCAAGGCACCACCCGAAGGCATTGTCAAGATGCAATCGGACTTCATGCGCCGTCCCGGGCTTTGCAGTCGGGGTAAGCTGGCTCTCTGCCAGCAAGGTGCAGTATGATGAGTGTGCCTACCATAAACCGAAACGATTTCCCCGCACGTGTCGTTGTACTATATTGCACTTCTAAGACTTTTAAGACTTGCTCACACCCCACGCGAACCATCGGAAGCGCCTGTATGTTGTGACGTTCAAACTTCGGCCTCGGCAGCCGTGCTGGTCTCGGGGAAGGAGTCACCGCATACTTGGATCTTAACTAATTGTACGCTGACAATTGCAGCTACAAGCCTTGTGACCTGGGACACCAACCGAAATCCTGATGCTCGGGTGCTTGCAAATCGCACTCATTTGGCAAATGACAGAGTCCCGGGCCGGGCGTTTGCAACTCAAGCTCGTAGCGCGAGCCCTGCTCATCCCTCCACACACCTTGAGCAGGCAAGACTGCGAATTGAATTGCTGTGTCAGGAACCAAAGACGATTCGGGCCAAACAAACAAGGCCCGAGCAGCGCACCTTCTCATTTATCAGGAAGCTTCACCAAGCTAAGCTTTACAACATGCCAACCCGGGACGTACTTGCCTCACGTCAATGCCAATTGGCCCAATTGTTTCTTTAGTCCGCGGAAGTCGGCATGGTAAAGCCATGCGGGACGGGGCAGAGTCACTAAACACCAGGAAGCAAAGATCCCGAAGAATCACCGATTGGCACTGTCTGAATTAGGGGCTTGGCTGGTCCCCGTTTACCTCCATCTTGCAGACAGGTCAACAGTTGAGGTTGAGGACTCTCAGCTAGCAGCACATTATGGCACGGACCTGTGGGTGATAGGGAACCATCGAGGCCTGGGCAAGGCCATTCGTCTGTCTATGCCTTTTACTTCTGGCGAGGGGTGCGGCGGGGGCCCCTGGACGTATTGGGGCAGCCATTGGCCAAACCTTCAACATCCTAGAAAGAGGTGATATCTAGCTGAGCCTAACTCTGTCACTCTCTCCCTCCCTTGTCTCCTGCCGACCAGAGACCGGACGCAACCACCCCGCTGATCTCCACCTCGGTGCCTCTGTGCCTGGAAACCAACAGGTTGACTCTGTCCGGCGCGGCACCGACCAATGCGTTGAGCGCATCGCTGCCCAATGCTGAAGCATCACCTGAGTCTCTGCCACGGCTCTTGAAGCTTGCCTCTGACGATTGAGGCTATTTCTGTTTAGATCGATCAGCATCGGTCTCGGTACATACCTGGCGGACAACCGACATGAAAAACCTGCGGTGGGCATGGCCGACGGTGCTTGCACAGGTAGACAAGTCTTACGGTGGCTTGAGCAAACAGAGGCAGGGCTGACCATTCGCATCTAGATATGCGAGACCGGGCTTGGAGCAAAGAAGAGGATGTCGGACAGGAACGCTTGGCATCACGAATATGGAGACTAGTTGAACACCATCCCTCAGCCCGAAGATGCCAACACAATTTCTCCGCAAGTCTTGATGGCTTCGGACATTTTTTGGAAGAACGATGCATACCAGCGGTGATTCGGCGGTGATACGTTGAAAACAGGAAAGTGTGTGACTACTCGTCTGGGGAGGTGTGCGGAGACTGGGCAGCAAACAATAAGGGGCTTCGGGGACACGCCATCCACCCTTTTAGCTCTGCGAGCAGCACATCAAACCCACTTCATAGCTCTCCTCATCCCCGTTGTGCCGATCGTGACAACCCTCCCTCACACCACAACAGAGAGCACGGAATCAAAAGCGAAAAACGCACGCACGCACGCGCACACACACACACGCCGCTGAAAGTCATAGCTGAGCTCCCGAGCCCATGGAGCCAGCCGCTGAGTTTCCCATGCGAGCATTGGGCCAGCCGCCAACATGGCTGCATGCCGTCACATGCCCCGGTGACGGATAGTCTGCTTTGCGGTGTCCATGTTGTGCAGAGGTATCCACAACGACAAGGCTTGCCGGAGTACATACTCAATGACTGAGTCACAGTGTGACGTGCTGAGGCTTGTGCATGTATAATTAATTAAGTAGTCTTGCGCACAAAAGCTCAATTGGAAAGTTTACAGCGACTGTCTGCAACCTTGTTTCGCGCCGGAAATTTGGAGGTGCGAGTTGTAACTGCACACATCTGCAAGCCGTGCCGGCACCCCGAACCACACCCAGACATGCACGAGCAATCATGAGACGGCCGCAGCCTATATACTTGTAGTTTACAGTGGCATGCATGTAGAAGCGCGTCCGGCCGATTCTGCCAATTTGGCTTTCAACGAAGACAGTTTCTAAATTACATGCCATCACGGCCAGAGACTGCTTAGTTGGACAAGACAAAGAAGTACCACAAAGCCCGTAAACCCACCTTGACTATACATTTGCAAAGATACCCACGGACCTACAAACACACACACACACACACACACACGAGCACTCACATTACAGCGTGAATGACAGAACAAGGCCTGCCGGGTGCTGTAATCAGTGGGAGGTACTTTGCCAGGCCTCCGCTTCGCCGTTCTGGGCTTGCTCCTCCCGGCGCTGGCTGCTGGCGAGGTCACCTTGGCGACGCGTGGCCACTCGCGAGCGAAGCTGGTGAAAGTGCTCAAAGGATCTCTCAGCTGCCGCTTGCGAGGCCAGCCGTTGCTGAGCAGAAGGCTCTCCGCTAGCTGGAGCTTGCGGGACAGCTTGATCAGCTCCACCTTGTAAGCTCTTACGGCTTCCGCTGTTTGCTTGAATCACTCCTCCCTGAAACACATCCCTGCTGTCAGCAAACCACAACAAAACAGGCCTCCGCAAGCCCGTGTAGCCTTTCTGCTTCCGCCTGACATGAACAAAGCTAATGATCTGCTAGCCGCCCATGGACTGTCTGCCTTTGGTTAGCAACTATCCTAGTGCACTCCAAAACCGCCATCATGCAAAACTCGACCTGCAACATTGCGCGAACAGGTGCGTCCACGCCTTGGCGCTCTGCTCCGAGATCAGCTGCTGTCGCAATTCCTGCCAACTGGCACCCGACGGCTGCTCCGGGGGTGTACTTGCATCTAGTCTTAAGAACTGGCCATCTTAGTGAATCCCAACGGCCACTTGCTTTTGCGGCAATCCCTTTAGCAGTGACAGCAACTGCAGCTAACTGCTGACTGACCATGTTGCCCGACATTAAGCCATACTTAGCACCGGTTTTTGACCCGAGAACCCACAGTTGAACCGAAAGAAGCGACAGAAGGTACTTGCGCTGGGCATGGCTGTACCTCGGCAGTCTCTGCCTGCACCCGGTCTGCCAGGGAAGCCTGACGAAAGGCACTCAGGTCTGGGCTGTTCACCGGTTCAGACGCGCTGAATAGCTCTCAAGAAGCTCCCTCGATCTCAGTCGCCACGAACGGCAGCGAAATCTCTCTCTTTCTTTCTGTCTCCGTCTTCTTCTTCTGCAGCAGACAACGGAAGCACCGGGCGACATCGCGCCCTGTGGTCCTGTTGGGTCTGTGTGACGCTTCTCCGCCTCTGTCTCTCTCGCTCTGTCTCTGTCTCTCTCTGTCTCTCTCTCTCTCTCTCTCTTTCGCCCGGCCATGAGGAGCATCTGAAGCTCCTCAGGCCGAAGGCCCACCCGCACGTGTTTGACGGGCCTTGTGGAGGAGGTGTGAACCCAGTCCCTCTCTCTATCTCTCTTTCTTTCTTTCTTTCTGCTCTCTCTCTCTCTCTCTCTTGCTTGCTGGCTTTCTTTGGCCCGAAAGCCTACCCCCCACGGCGCGTGCCGTCCAGTGTCAGTTCGACCCCTTCCGGGGATGCGCGCGCGTTCCGCAACACAGGCCCCAGGATTGAAGAGCAATTCTTGCAAAAGGTGGTGCGGCTGCCGTAAACACTGTGGCTGTGGATCAGGCAGCAGGTGCAGGCTTCCACTTTGGACTTGGATCCTTTGGCATTTTGGCGGCAGGCTTCAATGTAGAATTATGTTTACCTAGCGACTCAAGGTGCTGTAGTGGCTTCGGGAAATGTCTTCGCAGCATGTGTCGAGCGAGGTGCCTCGGGATGAAGGGCTGGGTCGAACGACAACGTAGAGCACTTGACAGTAGAAGAATTCTTTTGATGTTTCTTCGCCTCAAACGTGGTCGACTGTGCAATGGTGGATGACCTCAAACTTCTCCACGACGGCTTCTGCTGAAGCATTACCACGTAGGAGAGTCTGATAGCTTGGATGTCCCCTGTCTCAACGCTCGCTGGCCTGAAGCTCACCTTGAAAGCTTCGCTTCCGCTCTTCTGCCAGCAGAGCCTGTCTGAGGGACGCAGCAAAGGAGAGAAGTCGTCTGAGTTTTATTTTTTTACATGGCAGTGTCTTCCCGCTCCGTTTGGCCTCCGTATGGGCAAGCCGGTCCGACAACACCTGCACCTGCTTGGAGACCTCATGCACAACAGCATCGGCTTGCGGAGGCTTGTGCATGCGTTACTGCTGCTGTTACGCCGCCAGCTACTACTGCTACTGCTACTGCTACTGCTACTGCTACTGCTACTGCTACTGCTGCTGCTGCTGCTGCTGCTGCTACTACTACTACTACTACTTCTACTACTACCTGCTACCTACTACCTACTACCTACTACTACTACCGTACTACTACTACTACTACTACTACTACTACTACTACTACTACTACTACTACTACTACTACTACTACTACTACTATTGCTACTCCTGCTGCTACTGCTACTGCTACTGCTACTGATGCTGCTACTGATGCTGCT